TGACCAAGATAAAAAAATCAGCAAATGATTATATAAAATCTGACATGGCTTAGCAAAAGTTGAGGAAGGTATGAAATGCACACCTATTGATATTAAGATTACCTACTCCTACCCTTCCTGTACCAATTTCTTTCACCTCACAAACTTCTATTAGTTTAAGTATTAGTGAACATTTGCTTCCTATGTTCTCTGTATGTGGGAAAATGATCAAGTTGCTTTCTAAGGGTTATTATATAAGAACTGTAATTTCAAGCTTTAATGATCAATGTGGGTATATTCCGGACTCAGAACCATGCATTTTTGTTTTATGTTTATTTAAAATTTACCAATTATTTATTGATGCCAAATCATTTCTGAAATATAGTAATATTTTTTTATTTCATTTAATATTTCATCAAGTATTAACATGATTATCTTTTTCTAATCTATATCTAGATTAGAGAAAATGCTCTTATTCCCTATTTTTCTTTGAGCATCTTTAAACATTTGATCACAATAATCGTAGTTATTATTAAGATGGTGGTTTAGAACTAACCAGCTGATAAGCATTTTAATTTTAATATTTTAAGTATGAATGTTAATAACAACAACAACAGCAGTAGCAGTAATAATAATGGATATCATTATTATTGACAAGAGATGGAGGGAGAGAAAGAAAACTTTCACCAATTAAAGGTGCAAGAGTTATTTAATACACACATATCTTTAGAGGAACTGTGTACTAAAACAGGACATTTGGTAATGTTCAATGCATATATATATATATATATATATATATATATATGTATCTGTAATTTAGTTGCTAAAAATTTTCTTTAACGGATAATTTTTTTTTTATTTAAAAAAAAGGTGATTGATAACAAACAAAATCGTGATCTGTGAATCAGATTTAATAGGCAATTTTACTGATTGCTGATTTTTATTCAAGAGAATATTTGAGATTAATTAAATAATAGTTATTGAGTTGAGTACAACAAGTGGTATAGTTTAAATAGGGAGGAGAGCTAAAATTAGAACTACAGCGCAGATGATCTATAATCAATCAGAATTAGCTTTACATCATTATAATTGATGACATAATCGAATTTACACTTGATTATCCTTTTGATCTAGTGTTTTAAAGGTTCATTTATTCATGAGCACACAAGCGATTGGCTGTCAAGAAGGAATTTGTATAAGGGATGCATTTATAGATTATTTTTTTATCCGGTTAATGGGGTGATTCGACTGTTGCACTCGTTAATTCAGCATTGAAAGATTGTACCAATTTTGCGCTTTTATCATTCTATATTAATAACCCACTTACTCTACAAAAAAAAAAAAAATCAACCACAAACCTACCTGTTGAGGAATCTTAACAAGTTTTTTATATTGTTGTGAATCTAGACTATAACGCTTTGACACGTTAATAACCGTCTGTTGAATTAATTCTTTTAATACATTCTGATCAGTGCCAATTATTACATGATAGATAACTGGTAGGACAGAAATACGTTTCAAAGAAGGATCAAATTTTTTCGTATAATTCACTTGACATTTCGTTAATTATTATAGAAACATTTTTTGCATGACATACTGGCAAATGCTTATTTAGTCTGATCCATTCAATTATCAATTATTCCGCTCTCCCACATAATAATGGTTATAATAATAAATATTAAATACATTTCAAAATTTACTTTAGTATTCATAGTATCATCATTATACTTGTTACAAATTCATGTTTCTCGGGATATGAAATATTATAAAAACCTACCAAATGACGACCCACCAGCCACCGACAAGACAATTCTTTTCGATAAACTGGAAGAAACCAGTAATAAGAAAAGAAAACGGATAATCGAACAAAATTTGGAACCAGAAGAAAGGGAATGTTTAAAAATTCATAAATTAATGTTAGGATCATCCGGTGATCAAAGAAATGGGTATTAAAAGGAATTCAAAAGGGTATCGGTCCACAGTTCTTCTTTTACTGAGAGAAAAGAGAGGCTGACAAGAGAAAAACAAGGAAGGATCAACTCTAGGCCAAGAGGATCGAAAGAAATACAAAAACAAAATTCATATAAAAAGAAACGATGAAAAATGTGAACGATATAACAATATAACAATAAAACAATAAAACAATGTAAAAACTTAGCGAATTTCCAAGAAAAGCCCATAGAAAATTTTACTTTAAACCGAAAGAAAATTAACAAAAGAAGTTCCAACTAAAGAAATAAGTACATAAAAATGTTAATAAAATGAAAATAAAGGAAAATGACAACAAAATAATAATAAAATAATCGCGAGAACATTTCAAAATTAAAGGAAAGGAAAATATTGGTAACAAATTTCACGAGGAAAAAAAAAAAAAAATAAACAATATTCAATAAATATCATATGTATATACATTAATAAAATGGTACTTTCTAAAAGATCTGCTTTTTTTTAAACAAGTATATCTCCATATATGGGTACAGTCAGAACTAACTTGTTAAGACGATGTTTGATAAAACGAATATACATGATAAATCGATTTTATTACTTTGGTTTAAAGAGTTCGACTGTATTAGGAGATTTAGAGAGTTTAAGACAGATTAACACCATTATCAATCCCCTTCTTCAATGGTAAAATTAACTGTTAAGGGCGTGTAGATTTTTAATTATTACATGTACAGTGAGTGAGTGAGTGAGCCGTATCCCAAAGGATTAATTGTCCTCGTGGCTCAAATAAGTAGGCTTTATGTCAATCCCAGATGAGAGAGATATGCGATTGGATGATCTAATAATATTTAGTGTTAAAATTGGTTTCACAACTTTATTTATGAACGCCCAAATAAAACAGATTTAAAATGAATTCAATAGTTGAAAAATATTTCAATGAAAATGAAAGATTATTAAATACTGAAGATTTTTATGATGTAAAAATATATGTTGGCATAGAACCAAACATCAAAGAAGTTCATGCACATGCATCCATTATATCTACTCATTGTCCATTTTTCAGCAATGCATTAAATGATGCAACAAAAGAAAACGGATATTATATTATTAAAAAAATTAATATTAGTGAAAAATGTTTCAAACCTATTCTCAAGTAAGTTTAAATAAATTTATTACTTATTATTATTGAATATATATATATATATAATAATAATAATTTATTTAGATTTTTATACACATGTAAAATTGAATTTAAAAATTATTCTGGAGCCGAAGTATTAGAACTGTTAATTGCTGCAGGTCAACTTGGTATTGAATCACTTTGTGAATATGTAATGAAATACTTTATCGAAAATCATAAAGATTACATAAATGAAAATCCAGTCAAAATTCTACAATTGATTTATGCCAATGAAAATTTTAAGGAATTGAAAAATATTTATTTAGAAAATTTTTGTGAATATAGCGAAAAATTATTTGAATCAAGTGAATTTAAATCATTGGAAAAACCAATTCTATTAGAAATTCTCAAAAGAGATGATTGTAATGTTGATGAGATAGTTATTTGGGAAAACATTCTTAAATGGGGATTGGCAAAACATCCAGAGATCAATAATATTGATGTTGAAGATTGGCCATCACAAAATTTTGTTGATTTAGGCAACACATTAAAAGATTTTTTTTCTCTAATAAGATTTCAGGATATTTCTAAAGATGATTTTTTTAATAAAGTTGAATCATATCAAATGCTTTTTCCTAAGACTTTACGGAAACCCCTTTTACATTATTATTTATTTCCTGATAGACATCAAACTTTAGATTTACCACCATCAAGAAATCCTAAATTTGAATTATTAAACTCAACACTTGAATCATTGACAATCAATCAAAATCTTACTTTGCTTTTTGCAAGTTGGATTGATAAAAAAAATCCACCATATAGTTCATTCAAGCAAGTCAAATATGAATTCAAACTCCTATATCGAAGTAGTAGAGATGGTTTAAGTGCAGACATTTTTCATCAAAAATGTGACAACATCAACAAAACTGTTGTAGTTTGTAAAATACAAAATTCAGAGCAAATAGTTGGTGGTTATAATCCACTTAATTGGAATGGAGGAGGTTCTTCTTGGATACCTAAGAATACTACAGAAAGTTTTATATTTAACATAAGTAATAGAAATGATATTAATTCTGCTCAATTTAGTTATGTCATTAATAATGATTATAAACATGCAGTTGGGGGTCATCCCGGTGGTTTACCTAGATTTGGTGGTTCTGATAATAATGGTTGTAAGAGTGACATTTATTTTTGTGCAAATTATATGATTTACAGTATATCATATACTTATAATAACATCAAGATAGTAAATGAAAGCCAAATTAATGAATTGGAAATTTTTCAAATAATTGATAAAAAATAAAATAATAAATACAATGTTAAATTAATTTGTTAAATTTTATTTTATATTATGATTAATAAATATATAATTCAGAGGTGATTTAATTGCATTCCAAAATTTTACTATGCAAGGTGGTATGATCTCTAATCTAAGTATATATAGTGGCATGGCATTAACTCAAAATTAGCTTTTTTTTCTTTTTTCCACATCATGGTTCTTTCGTATTGAAAAGCCATATAATCTTAATAATAAATTTATGGCATTTTGGTTAACCCACTTTTATAAGGACTAATTGCATCTCCATAATTGGATGCTTTTATTTCTTTTGAACACTAGGATCTGTAAAATTGGAAAAACATCAACCTATTATGTCATTGAAACTTAGAAATTACACTATAATACAAAAAATTAAAATTTATTATTACATTTGGAAATTATTTTACACAATCAACCTGATTTAATTGGTGCTTTTTTATCAGTATGACGTAAATATACTTTAAGAATTGTCAGAATCTTTTGAAGTTGTAGTACCTTCAGTGATTCCTGTATATTTTTTTATTATTTCTTTTTGTTGAGGTGTAAGAGCCATATTAAATTCAAATAAAAATTTTATTTAAGAAATAATTCCACCAAATTCCTCCAACTTATAAATTTACTTTCAAATTGACATATTGATCACCTTGGAAATTGCCATTGTTTATGCCACGTTTTTAATACAATATGTTGATCAGATTGTGAAGCCTCGGGAACTTTTAATTCAACATTGCCATCTATCATAGACATTACTATATAACCATCTATAATTGCTCGATATTTGCAATTTGTCTCTTAAATATATTGTGTGGAGTAATTTTACAAATAAATTTCCAGGTGTTTCTTGACTATCATAAGGTGCATCACCTTGTCTAATCGATTTGATTTTTGTTCATCTTCAATACCTATAATTTATTGAGACAAATACAAATAACTAATTAGTTGGTTTAATTAATTAATTAATCAATAAGAAATATTTAATTGAAAAAAATTTGAATATAATACCAGCGGAAACATCAATAGCAATAGGTTTTCTTCCTTTTATTGACCTATACCAGAACATGTCGGACATCTATTTCCAGGTGATATTTTTGTACCTATACCATTACAAAAAGGACGGTAGTTTGTGATGCTATAACAATATATTGTACACATGATCCTTTACATGCTTTACATGTTTTGGAGTTTTTCCACCTTTGTACCAAGACCATTACACGCTTTACAAAAAGCTATTGTTTCTATAGCAACAGTTTGTTTAGCTCCTTTCACCAACTCCATAAAAGAAATCTTTTGATAACAATATTATTAAATTAATATAATTTAATTTAATTATATATATATTGTGATTGATATAAAAATAATGATGCTAAAAAGAAGAAAAGGCACTTCAATATCAGATCCAGTTGTATAAGGTTGTCTGTAACCCGTTTTAACTCCGTCAAATATACTGCTAAACAACTCTTCACTAAATCCAGAAAATCCACAATAATTTGCATCACTGCCACCAGGAAATCCACATGTGCCTGTTGGACCTCCTTCTTCATTTTGTTATTATTATTGTAATTTTTTAGGTAAAAAATTTTAATATATTAATAAACTTGTATAGAATACCTTGCGTTCTGTGCTCCATTGATCATACTGTGCACGTTTTTCTTCGTCATATAATATTAAATAGTTAACTTCTTGATCTTTGATTTTCATCCTTTCATTTACTATCCTAATTATTTACATCATAAGCTTCTTGAATTTGTACAAATTTTCTTATATCAGTAATTATATGTGTGTGTATATGATAAGTTTATTTAAACACATATATAATGATTTAATATATATATATATATATATATACATATATACTGCATAATATGCATTCTTTATATCTGAGTGTGATGCATTTTTTTGCACTTCAAGAGTTTCATAAAGATCTTTAGTTTTATTTACAGCGACTGGTATGTCATATTTACTAATTGCTATTTTCTTACCCTATCATTACTATTATTATTATGAATTTTGAATCTATATAAATGCTTTAAAATCTAATTGTTTAAATATTACTAATCTTGTGATTGTGTAAAATTCAATGATGACACGATCAATCAAATTGTGGCTAGGAATAATAAAACCTGCTCCAAATCTTATATTCATTGTTCATTGACCGTTTTAACATTAATACAAATGACCAACTTGTCATTTCTTTTTGACTTTCCTTTTGAACTTTAATAGAAATGACCTTGCCAAAGAGCAATCAAAAAATAACTGACAAGTTGAACCAAAAAATGAACATCTCGAACACGTCGAGCTATGGCTTAGTAAACGTAAATTACACGCTTCTTCATTTGAATTTACAGAAAGCTCGGATTCCAATCCAACTTCTATAATCTCAAAACATGCTTCTTCACATGGGTTGGTCTCAGCAATTATTCATGCTTATACTCTTCACCAACATCTTCGATTATCACCAGATGATGTATGGTTAACAATTGCACAAGGTATTAGTAGGCACATTTGGAATAATGCTGGACGTTTTCGTTACTTATTTGTTGACCACGAAGGTCAGGAAGATGTCTTTGTGGATGCTCGAGATATTATAGGATATGTTAACCAAAATTTTATAGGCGATTGGCCACAAGCGATTTCTCGGCTTTCCGAGACTATTGATAAACGAGTTAAAAAAGTTGGTTTAAAACAGCATCTCGAATGTGATTTTTCTACCTCAACAAATTCATCTATTGCTGCCAGTCAAATTATCTTGTTAGATGTGATGAAAAAGTATTTTAGGTATGGCATGATGGGTGGTTGTGGTATTCCAAAGGTTACCCTTGATGGCACCTTGAAAGATTAGTTGCATCTTCAAGAAAAAGTTGCAAAAATCCGCGATTTAGGATTGGAACTTGATTTCTGATTGGATAGGTTAGAACCAGTCATCACTCAATTTGTCGCCACATATGAAGGAGGATGGTTATTTTCAATATTCCTTATTCCAGTGGTATACCGACTCCTTGTTGGGATGGATGGACAAGTGCTTTGTTTCCTTACGGCAAGTCAGGAGGGAAAATTATGAATAATACAATTATTCCTGATGAAGTACCTTCTGGATTAGTACGTGTTCCTTTCAATTTGGGTATCTTGGCAGAGAGTTTTAAATTAAAATTTGCTGCAGGTTCTTTCGGTGCTAGGCAAGTTAAGGTTAACGATTAATATGTTATTTCTAATACTTATTGGTTGGTATATTGCTGATGCTTAAAATTTAATTGTAATTAGCTAGTTATATATTTGAAATAAGAATAGTAGCAAATACATATGCCCTTTTAAATAAAACGGTCATAAAGTGGGCTTAATTATGGTAATGAAAACAGGATGCATTATTTTCCACAAATAATAATAATTTTCATTGTGCAGTATTGCAACTCACCACCTGTTTCTTTTGAAAGGAATTAAAATATTTATATGTAATGTAATTTTTTTTTAACAAACCTTTAATGAAAATTGGTTTTTATGAATCTAAAGTACCATTCTTATTTCTAAATCCACAGATTTATAAGAACTCGTATTAGTATCTAACATATATGGTATGGTGTTAAAATTGATTTAGGTATTTATTGTATTTGAAAAAAAAAACCTTGAATATTTAAGTTAGCTTCACTGGGTTGGCAAGACTCTGTGAAATAATTATTGCATCTATTTCCATGATCTGAGAATCAAAAGGATTATAATCGCTATTTTTTGAGGCATAGAAGCTTGAAGTTCAGATTCGGGATCAGGATCAGAAGTGTCACCCAAGCATAATACTTTTCAATTATAATGATCTATCTTATGTCTCATTGCAACCTGCTGTAATGATACAAATTAAGTTGTTCAGGACATAACGAAAATAAATTCGTTCCACAACGTTAACGAGTTTTTGGTGGGGGTCTTTCTATCTCATCACAGCTAATTCACGTGACATAAATTTTTATGAAATTATCCAAATTAAAAAATTTTTTTTCCTAATAAAACAAACAATCAAATAGATTATTTTTAGTCAAAGGTCAATATCAAAATAAAGCAATAAAACAAACAATAGATAGATTATTTATCCAAGAATTAATTCCAAAAACAATTGATAGATTATCCAAAGATTTGCGAATAACAAAATTTTACAAGTTTCAAATAAACAAACAATTGACAGGTTATTTGCGAGCAACAACCTTTCCCAAGTTTCTAAAATAAATTAATAAACAAGCAATTGATAAATTATTTGTCTAAATGTTTGCGAGTAACAAAATCTTCCAAGTTTCTAAAATAAATTAATAAACAAACAATTGATAAATTATTTGTCTAAATGTTTGTGAGTAACAAGTTTCTAAATACCAACAATTGATAGATTATTTATCCAAATGTTTGCGAGTAACAAAATCTTCCAAGTTTCTAAAATAAATTAATAAACAAACAATTGATAAATTATTTGTCTAAATGTTTGTGAGTAACAAGTTTCTAAATACCAACAATTGATAGATTGTTTATCCAAATGTTTGCGAGTAACAAAATTTTTCCAAGTTTCCTAAAACAATAAGCAAACAATTGACAGATTATTTATCAATTTTTCAAAGATTCATAATAAAATCAAAAATTTCAAAATGTATAAATTAAGTTGAAACCAAAAAATCTTGATTTAGCAATCCAGTTTGAAATCAGTGCAGGCCGAGTTAGTAGTATATTAAAGAGGAGTCTGACAAATGGCTTAAAATCGACCCAATTCCTAAAATTTTTTGCCGATCATCACCAATTTGGCCACAGCGGATTTCTTGTCATAACGAATTTTTTGGCTGGACCATGAATTCGCTGTGGCGAGGTTGACTGTAGAAGTTATTAATTAATAAATAGAAAATAAAAATAGAATACGATAGAAATAAAAATAAATTAATGAAATTAAAAAGTAAATTAAATAAAATAATAATTAAAAATACATATGTAAACGAGTTTACATATTAATTCATGATCCATGGTAGAAGTGTATACTGCGCCACGTTTTCTGAAATCCAGGGTTGCTAAGTAGCAAAGTCAAAAACTTGTAAAGAAAACA